CAAGCACTGTTTCACATCTGCAGTGCATGTCTTTAGCTCCAACAGGTGTTTCTGTAGCCACAAGAGCTTGCTTTAAAAATATAACAAGTTTTCAGCATGTAAATTGCTTGTATTGTTAAGAGAATGTGAAGAAGTTTGTTTGAAGTTTATTTCATACTTGTATACATGTAGCAGTGATGCTGTATGGTGTTAGTTAATTTAATGAACAATATACTACGTATGTATAACTCTGGTACCTGTTTTGAAATGAACAAAAGTTAATTATGAAAATGAGAGTTGTTGCAGGTATTGTCTGCCAGTAATAGTATAAAGGTACCGCCATCAGTTCACAGTGTGATTTATGTGAATTAAATCTCTTCTTTTTTTCCCGGTATTTTACCAGAATGCTGTAGAATCAAACAGTAATCAAACAATCAAAAATAGTAAACATGAAAATAGTGCTGGACTTAAAGTTCTTCAAATTGTTTAGAAATCACCAATTTGATTGAAAGGGTTTAAGATGAAGGCAGTTGTTAAAAACACCCTGTTAATATCTTATTCTGTACATGTGGCAAGAGGCAGTTTTAAATTCATGAAACTGCACCAAGAAACTTTTTATCAATGTCTTGAGAAAGAGGCATCGGATTGAATAAAAATAAATGCTGAATAAATGTTCTAAAAGATCTACTTTTATCCCACGAACAAGCACAAAGCTATTCAACTTTTGAAAATTACATACTGTATGATGCTACATCAAAACTTAAAGGGAATGTACATGTACAACATTTACTTTTGCTGCAATTTTCAGAAATAAATGAATTTGGAGGATAAGTTATATAGCAAATATTGTTAAAATGACTTGTTTCACGTTTTGGGCTTGAAGTATGCTGGAAAAACCAAGAAAACCAACCATGTTCTTGTAGTCTGGTTTCCTGACCCCATTTAAGATGAAACGGAGCAATTTATAGACTTTGGGAAATTGTAAGGTCAGAGAATCAGTCTAGCAGGCTTGTACCCCATCAAAGGTGTGTAAGCAATTGCAAAGAAAACGCGGAATAACTAATGAAAAATATCATTTTTCTTGAAAATAACTGCACACCAGGAGCCACGAATTTACAGGATGCTTTAGACTGTCATTCCTTAACAATCCAGTAAGGTAATTGTGATAATTTGATCATTTCATTTTGTGATGTTTGCAAATGTTGTATCTTCCCTTTAAGCTTTTAATGAACATTTTCACATATAATATAATTGTGACTTTTCATTGCTATGAGACATGACAAATTAACTGTTAATTGATTCAAATACTCATCACTCCACTGGATTATTTTTGTTCCGAGATGTAATCATGGAATTTTGAAAATGAGAATTTAAAATATTTTCTTCTTGCTTTGTGACAAAAGTGTTGTGCTTTTATTGTGTGTGTATATAAAAATGTTAACAACTCAAAGCTGCTCAATACAAGAATTAATTTATCAGAAAAATTACTCATAACGCATCATTGGTAAAAATTGGTTGCTCAGCTAGCATTAAACTCATTTTAAACTCTGATTTTACACAAATGTGAAAGCTTTCTGTGGAGAATACTGTACTGATTATCAATTTCAAGAACTATACAAAATTAAAAACTTGTAAACAATTTCAGAAAACAGCATTACGGTATGACCTCTTTATCCATCTGTGGGATTGCTGGATCAATTGGTGTGTTGAGCATTGCTCATATATTTCAGTGTGAAATGTAGATGTTGAATGTCCTTGAATTTTGAATGTTTCAAATCAAATCAAATAAATCAACAAAATTTATTGAGCTTAAAAATGACTTCTTGCAAACTGTGCTTGATAATAATTGTGCCGTTAGGGATGATGGCGGTATTCTTCAAATGGAATTCTATCGTCCAAGGCTGAAGTGCTGAATCCAACGTAACCAATTGAAAGCTTGTAAAATCCTACGGAATCCATCAAGCTTAGGAATGATTCCTGAGATGAAGAACTTCAACTAAATCCAAGAGATATTAAAAGACTGATGATATATTTTCCCTGGCAGCACTATCAAAAAGGTTTCAACTAGATCAACGTTATTGTGGTTGGATATAGCCCATGCACATGCCAAATAGCCTAATCCGTACATTTCACATCCATTTACAAGTACTAGCCACTGATCTCTATATAAAGACTGGATAGCGGATATGCATACAACATTCACACAGTAGACTTTGCATATTGACCAATTCGCCCCCGGTCTCACGAAGATGGCCGCGTATAATACGAACGTTCTACGTGTAAATACGCGCGCGTTGTATCAACAGTTGACGCGCATTTTGGTCACGTACACATATTATGATGTTCTAAAAGGGACACATTTCCGTAATGATTATTATTTCAAAACGCCGAAAAAGTTATATATTTGCGGCATTTTAGTAACCACGACGTTAGACAAATTGTAGTTAACCTTGGTCAGTGATGGTGGTCAAAATATAAGTCAAGTGAACCGCGACGTTACAAAAGAAATCATGCTGTCTATAAAAACGACAACTTGTCCTTTGTAGATCACCAGCCGGTCTCACCAATATGGCATCAAATTCGTACATTGTGCGGCTCTGTATTAGCTATCCAGTCTTTATATAGAGATCAGTGGTACTAGCCAACGCATCAGGTTACAGACCAGTAAATAAACTTCCATAGACCCCAATGGTAAATGCTCCCACTTCAGAAATTCAGGAAAATCCTCACAACTCTCCAAGGTGTTCGAGACACACATCAAATGAAAGCTTATTTCATCGTCTTTCATTTACTTTTCAATTTTCGGGGGTCAACTGATGACTTTTAGGAGAAAGTTCTATCCGAAGATGATCACCCCTGAAAATAGTCCTGAAGCCCATCGCCTTTTTGAAAAATGATGCCTACACTCCATTGCAAAATAGAGCGCTTTAAGGGCCCCAATTTCATCCAAATTGAACGGAACTACAAGTTCACAGTCCTGTGCACGGCTTCCACCCATATTTTTTACAAACCCTCAAGTTCATGGCCCACAGCATGCTCAAATACTGAAGATTTTGAGGGCATGCAAATCGTGATTTGGACGATGTAGGCAATTTGGGACCGATTTACTGGTCTGCAACCATCAAGACAGCCTCTCGTCTCGTTGAACTGTGACATAGGGTCAACTTCATGAATATTTATGTGTGCACATGAAGGTAATGCTCACCATAGCTGTGCTCATAACATGCTTCTGAGTCTTTCAGACAACATGATAAAAAAAAACCTACCAGCAAAATACAGACACAAACAAGTTGACAAGGCAGTGGCAACCCAACAGATCTACAGATGGCCTTAAGACAGACAAACAGCCCGAACGTTAGAAAGGAAAACAAACGACTGACACACAAACAAACCCACAACAAAAAATGGAGAAAAACCACATATACATACATGTATGTATGTGCTATCATAAACATTTTGAAGTATATGTTTATGTACATGTTTACATGACTCTTGTGCTAAAATGTGATTTGTGAACAAAAGTCTGTAGCAATTTAAAAAGTTGTTCTTTTTTGGCAAGACCTCTAGGCAAGGTTTCTTTAATATCAGTTTGAATTGTTTGATTAGAGCATTTAAGATTACTTCTTTTATTGTTGCCATAGTAAGAAAAACATCTTTACTAACTGCGAGAAATTATTGAAGACTTAGAGAAAGGTTTTGTCTCTATCATGTGATATTGTTTACAAAATAGCTAGATTCTCCATCTGTCTGTTTTGCAAGAATATAGCTTGGTAATTTACGTTTTTACCCTTGTTGCCATTGTAGGAAATTTCCTCCGGTCCCCACTGCCAATATTTCTTGAAATGCAATTAGACAGTTTATCATCTCATGATGTTGTTACAAGACTACGAGGCAATTTACTCCATCTATCTGTGTTGTCAGAAGACGGTCCGACCAGTTTTTCCCTTGTGTTGTTGTTTATTCATGTAAAAGACATTGGGAAAAAGGCTTCATTGAGCAATTTTGAGATGCTTGGAGGCATTTTTCCTCAATATTGCATCAAGACCGTAGCAAGGTTCTTTACCGCTACAGCATGGCAGCTGTGATGAAAGTTGCCCCAACAGCCAATATGTACCGGTATCGATGACACAAGGGCACTTTTCATATCTTACTAATAAGGGAATAACAGTGTGAGGAGCCGGTCTTCACTGCGCGATAATGACCGGTTTTGGGGTGACTGCTGTTAATGGACCGAGATGTAGTCGAGGTCCTTTAACAGCGGTCACCCCCACACCCGGTCATTATCACGCAGTGAAGACCGGATCCTCACACTGTTATTCCCATTAATAAATACCTTTTTAACGAAATAAACAGTTAAAATGCTCCAATTTTGTGACTTTCTTTCGGCGATATTTCCAGACTTTTATGTGTTCATGTTCATGGGCCATATTTTAGCTTAACAGCTATAACGACGTAAACTCAACAGAATTAAACTGCAGCCGTAGCGAAACAAATTACAACAATGTTATCATATCTTTACCTGATGGAGGAAGCTGAAATCTCGTTTACACATTCCTTGTGTCTGGAATTACAAAGATGCTTGGTTTAGGAAAGGTAAATATGTCGGTTGGTGAAGTGTTCAAAGAAAATAAATCGTAGATCTACGCTTTCATCGTAAACATCCTCAGTATATACACTGCACTGCTGTACGATGTTGTTTCAAAACTTCCTTACGCGCGCGCACGCACGCATCCCTAGCAACTGTGTTGCATACGCACACGTGAGTCTCACGCGATGGGGTTGAGCGCATGTGCAGTGCTCTATTGTTACAAGCTACCGCAGGACTGTTACTATATTTTGACCAATCACTGGCTTGCATGGGGCTGAACGGGGCTGGATCAATGCTGGTTCAGGGGCCATTTATGCGCTTGATCTTTGAAGCCGGTCCATTATCACCGTTATTCAGTTATTATCACAAACACTGAGGCAGTTTTCCATCTCGGTCTACTGAATCGTTAATAGGCCCCATTGTTGCAGACAGGAAATTAACTTTCCAGTGGGATTCCTAATTTTTACAATCGATTTCAGCGTATATTGGTGACTTGTTTATTCCTTGAAGCCCCATCGCTTGCTGCCTACCCACAGTGCATATTGACTAAATTGGTGCTGTCCTCATTTCATCATTTGACTGCTTAGAATTCAGTCGTGTCACAGACTGTCTTCAACACCATGTACAACTGTAGCATGTTTGCTTGGTGGTTTCTTAAAGTACTTGGCTGCTAAATTGTCATCATCGTTTTGGATCACATGACATGCTATCATCCTCTAAAGCTGTTGTCAAGGATTGTTGTTCAGATCCCTAAGGAGTGTGATCCATCTTGAAACAAGGAGATAGTTGCTGCCTTCTTCTGCGTCCTTGCTCCTTGTTATTGAATGTGATGCACTGCTTCGTAGTGTTTATACTTTAGCTGATCTGTTTGGAGTTATACTGAACAGTGACTTTATTCCATTCAGTTGACAGTAGAATGAGGACACTTGTATATTAACAGCATTGACGACACACAGCCTGAATATGATGGCCTTAATTAAACCAAAGAACATCAAACTAGCCATTTTAACTGTCATCATTGGCTGCCTTGGTGTAAATGCTGTTTGCAAACCAGGTTGGAAAGAACATGGCTCATCTTGCTACAAGTACACAGATAATCGCACAGACTGGGAGAATGCAAACACATACTGCCAAGGGCTTGGTGGCATGCTGTTGGTCATTGAGTCAGAGGAAGAGAATGAATTCATTGCTGAAGAAATGAGAAATTCAGGCATGCCCAGGGCCTGGCTTGGTTGTAATGATATAAGCATGGAGGGCACATGGGTGTGTTATCCTGAAGGTGTCAAGAAAATGCAGTATACCAACTGGGTACAAGGACAGCCAAACAACTATAACAACCAGGATTGTGCAGCAATAAGTGTTAAAAATGACAGGAATGGCACATGGGGTGACCGATCTTGCAATGCTGGGAATGACATCAACACCATATGTGAGACAAGCAGCAGAGTCTCTGCCATGTCCTGCTACATCCTGGGTCCTGATGGCCGCATTCAACCATAAACCTGGACCAAGCCTGCATCTACATACATCAATCCCTTCTGTATCCAGACACTGACTCACAACTACGTACAGGTTCTGTTGGTTTTACATCAATTTCAACAGTTTACTTGGAAATATCTCTTCTCTCCTACACTTTACACAATGGCCATTCCTTTGAATTATACATTGCCCTGGAGAAACAATGGATGATCCTTCATACATGTTTTACTGAATGGACAAAAAACTCTTTATTCTGGATTCTGTAATTTTGGCTGCTCTTGCTCATAACATTTTGACAAAACTGAAACACACAAGAACATTGAGTTGTAATAATATGGGCAATGAACAGTTCAGTAGGAACTTTGCTCAAGAATGAAAGCTACGTAAGTCAGAAAACAAAAAAAACCTAACTTCAACAGCGTGGATGCATGTTGCTTCAGCAAAGTTCGGTTTGATGCAGAGTTTGATCACATGTTATCTGCCATCAGAGTCTCTTGGTAGTCTATTGATTTGTATCTGATGACGAAGGATAAACACACTCAACAGTTCAGGCACTGATAAAACTCTATCAAAGAAATTGACTGAAACAGTCCATATTTTGTTGCTTGAGCAAACTCTGCTATGATGCAAAACAGGATCATGTCATCTCTCATCAAGTCAGGAGGCAATATTGACTTGATAAATTGAGGAGAACCTTGAAACTATGACAGGCTCAGCAACTGATGTGTAATTGATTCTGTCAGTCAGAAATGATGAGTGATTGTTGATGGTAGAAGTCTTGATTGTCTAAATCTTGACACGCTGTCATCTCCCTAATGCAAAAACGCTACTGAGTCCATTGTCACTCTACCTACCAGTGTTGTTAAACGGAAGTCTATCTCAGATGATATTAAATTTCCCAATCTTGGTAAGGCAGCTGACGTGCTCCAAACCAGATATCAGTTGAGCACAGTGTGTGATTGCGGCAGTTGGTTCCATAGTGGAAGGATGTTCAGAACCATGCTGTGATAACCACACTGAAGATGGGGGTATTGTTGGAACTCCTACACCCAAAGACAACTCTCGTTGTTGTCTTTATTTTGTTCTTGTGTCATGCTGGTGTGAATGCTGTTTGCAAACTAGGTTGGATAGAACATTGCTCATCTTGCTACAAGTTCACAGATAATCATACAGACTGGGAGAATGCAAACACATACTGCCAAGGGCTTGGTGGCATGCTGTTGGTCATTGAGTCAGAGGAAGAGAATGAATTCATTGCTGAAGAAATGAGAAATTCAGGCATGTCCAGCACCTGGCTTGGCTGTAATGATGCAAGCATGGAGGGCACATGGGTGTGTTATCCTGAAGGTGTCAAGAAAATGCAGTATACCAACTGGGCAGAAGGAAAACCAGACAACTTCAATTACCAGGATTGTGCAGTAATTAATAAGAAAGCCAAGTGGAATGACAGATACTATGTTAATGACATGTACACCATATGTGAGACAAGCAGCAGAGTCTCTGCCATGTCCTGCTACATCCTGGGTCCTGATGGCCGCATTCAACCCTAAACCCACCACAACCTGTGTCTAAACGGCACACCTTCGTACGTGTATTTCACCGACAAAGAGGTATGAACAGGAACAGGCTTATCAACTACCGGTACATGTAAATGTATCTGGATGATGCTGTATTTACATCTAGAAGACTTGGCACTGAACCCTATCTTTGCAGTTTCCTTCATACCGGTACATAACATTGTTTTTTATAGTGACTGAGAAAACTCATATCAGCTCAGCATGGAGGAAGGGATCATCACGCATACATTTTACTCTGAATCCATATATGAGTCACATTGTGAACGAGTCTCATCTTATAAATGATTTCACATTCTCTTTTGCCGAAACAAAACTGCTTTCTGACTGAAATCCATGAAGAGGATGACTTCATGATTTGTGCACAACACTTTGGAAGTGAACTGGGTTTCACAGTGTTACCTAAAGGCATGTACATGTAAAATGACCATCCGGCGACTGTCATGAACACTGATATGTAATGTCATAGGCACATGGACTTAAACTGAAATACTTGGCACGTGTCACCAATTTTTTTTGTGAATAATCGTAGTTGGAAATAAACTAGGTTTGGGGAATTGGCATGGATAGTTGCTTTAAATATTGTGTGATGTACATGATAAATGTACATGATAAGGGATGCCAGAACTCATGCTATATAGCCAGAATTCATGCTTTTTCATGTTTTGGACAAACAAGTCAGGCTTTCCATTCCTTCACAGGCCAGAAAGAATAAATCCTCTTGTGGCACACACAGAAAAGCAATTGTGCATGCGATGCTCCATGGTAATTGCCATGCTAGCTCAATAACTGTTTTGACATGCGTGCTGTCTTCACATTTTTCAGGCCGTGGAGCAAAAAGCCACTGACATCCCTGGTACATGTACCGGTACTATGTATTTTTGCTGTATAGCAGTAGTGTTAAATGATGTGTGTGAAGTCATGGAATTGCATCCAAAAAAATTAGGTCACAATTTTGGCTGATTTACACTTTTTTTTTAGTGTGTTTTAAAAACGTAGTTGAAAGTACATGTATAGCTTTGAATAGGCAATGTTAATTTACTTTTAAAATATGCTTGCTGTAAATAGCAGTGATGTTGTATGGTGTTAGTTAATTTGATAAGCAACTTGTACAGCTGGTACGTGTTTGAAATTTAGATTATTGTATGATAAATATTATACATGAAACTTGAAAATGTGATGGTGAAACTTACATTTGTTGCAGGCCAAGTTAGCCACTAAAGGTACATACGTGTATATAAAGTTATGCTTAGTGTTTCAGTAGGTCTAGGGCCAATTTAGCACACCCCCCCCCCCTCCCCCTCATCAGCGGCATTTAAAAAAAAATGATACTAGTAAAATGGGCCCAAAATAGTAAAGTTTGACTCAAAATTCCTTCTTTTATTCTCAAATTGCATTACAAGGGGTAAGATGGCATGTCCCTCTGCCCCTATGGCAGGGGCAGACCTTCAATCAAATATCAACACCCCCCCCCCCATATGTGTTTCCTGAAACTAGATCCGCCCCTGTGTTTACATACATGTACAATGTATGTTTTTTAACTCTCATCTTTTTTTCAGGTATTTTACCGGAATCCTGTAGAATCATACTGTAAACAACAATCAAAAATAGTTAACATGAAAATTATTGTGCTGAACTTACAGTTCTTAAAATTGTTTATAAATCACCCATTCTAAGATGTTGTTGAATTCAATTTTCAAAGGGTTTTAGATGAAGGCAGTTTTTAAAAACACCCTGTTAATATCTTACTCTTGTTATAATAGAAGTGAGGTGTACATGTACTTGTGACAGGAGGCAATTTTAAGTTCAAGAAATCACACCAAGAAACTTGTTCTCAATGTCTTGAAAAATAGGCATCGGATTGAATAAAAATAAGTGCTGACAACATTTTCTATTACTTTTATCCCATGGACAAAGCACAAAGCTGTTACATATAGTTTTGAAAATGACATAGGCTAACTGTATGATGATTTTGACATCAAACATTTCTTTTACCCAAAATGTTGACATAAAATATAATTTTGACTTTTCATTGCTACATGTATGAAACATTAGATTATTTTTGTTCTGAGATGTAATCATGGAATATTCAATTTGAAACCGATAATTTTACAAATGTTATTCTTGTTTGGTGACAAAAGTGTTGTGCTTTTATTGTGTGTATATTATATTACAAAATGTTAACTCATAGTTACTCTATACAAGAATTAAATCATCAGAACAATTACTCATAGCGCATCATTGGTAAACATCGCGGGATCCACAGAAATTGTTCGCAATAGCCTTTGCTCGGTATAGCGATTTGAAGCTGCTGGTGCTCCGGTAACTCACTCTTCAATAAATATAATAGCACCCTTCGGAACTTACTACCTACAGCAATGGGTGGCTTTCCCCTTCTATTCCTTTGGGAAACAATAACCACTTGTCGCTCCTCTGTTGACTTTTTCCAACAACAACGTTTGGTACATTTTGTACTCAAAATCCGGAGCCAAGGATGATGTTCGGTATAGCAAAATGTCCGGTATAGCGACGTTCCACTGTATTATAATTAAAAACTCATTAACGATACCAAAATCTCAGAAAACAGCATTACAAAATGACCTTTATTTGTATTTTCTCAGGTGTGGGATTGGTGGATCAAATCATGTGTTGAGCCTTGCTCATTTAATTAAATGTGAAATGTAGATGCTGAATGTCTTTGAATTTTGAATGTTTATAAGAATGAATAAAATAAGTCAATAACATTTGTTGAGTTTGAAAATGGCTTCTTACAAACTGTGTTTGATAATATTTGAGCTGTTAGGGATGATGGTGGTATTCTTCCAAAGCTAAAGTGCGGAACCCAACAGAACCAATTGGAAGCTTTGTTTAACCCAAGGGAATCCATCAACAATAGAGAATGATTCCTGCTAACTTCAACTAAATTCAAGAGATGTAAAACTGATGATATTACTCTGGACAGCACTATCCAAAAGGTTTTAACTTTAAGAGTCACGTAATTCTGGATCTACAATAAAGCCCAGGCACTGCCTAATCCAAGCCTAATCCATGCATTGCTCATCCATTTACATACATCTAGCCAACTCATCAAGATAGCCTCTCGTCTTGTTGAACTCTGACACAGGGTCAACTTTATGAATATTTATGTGTGCACTTGAAGGTAATGCTCACTGTATGAGCTCATAATATAAACCATTGAGAATTGTCATGATAACCGATAAAATCACAGAATTTGGTTTGTTATTGCCCTTGGTCATTCAATGGGCACCTATCTCCAGTCTATAACACGCATTCATCATGGCCATAAGCGCCCCGCCCGGGTGGGCGCGCCCACCTCTGGCATTGGCAACAGCATCTCCCCAGTGCTACACTGCATGTTGTGCCCGCGTGCGTCATGCATTTGTAAGTGTATGCATGTTGAACTTTAGTCAGACCATTGGTTGCACAGCCATGGCTGTGAGTGGTAAAAAAATGTCATAGGACGGGCTTAACAGATTGGTATTTCAGGGTTTTGCCAGCAATGGAAAAAACTGTTGTCCGAATTTACCTTAAATTGAAAAAGTGGGTGTCAAAATCCATGCCTTCAGGGCATCCAAAAGATGCCCGGTCACCCCTCAGTGCAGTATGAAGGATTTTCAGATTTGCTTTCATCAGAATTTGTGACAAATGTAAGTAACATTGGATGTACTGTTAAATTTCCTCAGGGTGACTCGGACAGCTCCGACGATCCAGCATTATTTCATCTTCCTCCTGCCACGATACGCCTCAACAAAGCCACCGGGGTCACGCAAGAGGTCATCGACATGTTCCAGACAGCGGTTGATTGTTGGCAACTTCTCTACTCCAATGAAACATTCGAAAAAGGTCAGTGTACAGACTTTAAGTTTAAAATGTGTCACTTCTGTTTATGACTGCTAATTTCAGCTTACAATTTGAAAAGCAGTTTTCATTGCAAATATCTATTCAAACTTGATTTGACAGTAAATCACATATCACATTTTGGATGTATCTTCTTTTGCAAATTGGCAAAAGTTTAACTCATTGCAACTCTTTACAATTTCAATATGAATTTTTGTGACATTAATTTTGCTTCACATCCACATATATCCATTTGTGTGAAGAACTCAGTAAATTGTTAACCATTAAACCTTGAAAACTATACATTCCAATTTTATGAAGAAGACCTCCAGAAGATTGGCCATAATTACACTTAATACAAAGAGGCATGAATATGATTCCAATAAATTGGCAAAATTCTCCTTATATCTCAGAGGAAAAGCTTAGTTTGGATATCTGTTACCTGTCTTTATGCCTATATTTATTCCATTCAAATTTGAATCCCCAATTGTTGGTATCTCTTGCAGACTTCAACTGGTTACTTCACAGATGGAAGGCAGACACGTGGCCATGGTTTACTGCATTTCTGATTGATCGCTTATTATACAAGGTCAGTTAATTATGGAAAGTCAGGGTTTGGGCTTGGAATTCTTTTGATCCAATTAGCACCTGTATTACATTGTATTACAATGTATTTATTTCCTGATGTGAATCCATACAACCATACAGTACAGGGCCTGGGGTGGTTTAAGGGGTGCAGTGAGTAACAGGCTGGGTGGTTTGGAACTGTACAGGGTTCTGTGGATTAGGCCAAGTAAAAAAAATATACCAGTTTCTTTTCTTGTCCCTGCCTGCTTCACTATTCCCCACCTCCCCCCTATTTTTTAGTGCATACATTTGAAATATATTTTGCTAAAACAATGTCAATATATTGTCTTAATTTGTTTCCAACAAAATTGTAGCTATATATGTAAAAAGGGTCACAGCTCCTTTGGACACAAGTTTGTATCTGCAGAAGAGTCCAGAAAATGGAAGAATCGATCCGCTATCTTGGAAAAAACATAAAAAATAAAAAAATAAAGAAAAACGAAAAAATCCTAAAACATGCTCACATGGTCTTTTAATAAGTAATTCTGGGACTTCTATTCTTTGCACATTTCTCTGTTCATTTCATGAAGTGCCATTGTTACGGTACCGTGTCTTGAACTGAGTTTCTTAATTTTAATTAATTTTATCTGCATATAGGCGGAGTTTGACCAGGCTTTGAGAATGTTACAAGAACAGTATAAGAAATTATCAACAGAACAACAGACTGGAGGGAACCAGGTAAGAAATCACTACGGACTCTCACCAGAAAAATGGAAACCAGTTTCTGTTATTGAAGAACTCTTTATTTATTAGTTGCATATGTAATAAAGTCACATTTACAAGGAAAAAGTGCATTGGTGAAAGAAACTGCAAACATTAATACTTACAAATTCAAGTACTCTAGAAATATTTACACAAAGAAAGCTGCATACAAAAGTTAATTTTTAACCAGTGAAGGCATGCATTGCTGATTATGGGATGGGTGAAAACATAGTGAAAACCCTTTTGGGAAAAAACACGGGAATTTCCGTTCCGGCTCCAAACAACCGTGACAATCAAGTTTATAACTCCTTAGATCAGCGCATAATGAACTAGTGTGCTTTATGTGTTATAATTTTCACTGACTGACTTGAGTGTCTATCAACTCCAATCCTCAGGTGTAATCTTCTCATGCACAGGTGCTGTAGGTTTGTACACATTCAGCTGACATTTAAGCATCATTTCTTGTTTACTGGCAGGTGGTCATAATAGCTCATTTTAGACCTGAGACAGTGTACCCATTTCTGTTGGTCGAGAGCCTGTCACATGGGTGGTTTTAAACCGCTACTAAAACACCGGTCAGCGATGTTTAAATCCGGTCGTTCCATTCAAACTCTGAGTACATGTAGGTACTCCATTCAAACTCGGATTAGGTATCTTTGTGTAGATAGTTCGTTGATATATTGTTCTTATTATTATTCTTTTTTTTACCACAGCAAGTGCTAAAGACCCTTCTACAGACAGCAGCCTGTTACTTCAGGCTCAGTCAACACTCAGTGAGTTCTGTTATTCCCAATCTCTTTTTTGCTGCATTTGAGAACTTGATGATTTTTACAATGGGCAAAGCCGAAAATCCATGTGTCCATTTTCGGTGTGCATATTGGGCTGTGCCTTTACCAGTTGTGTACCTGTGATGTGTACTCTGAAAATCTATGTGTAAAAAAAAAACAATGTACGTATTTCTCTGCACACCTGACGGACGTATAAACGCTCAAACAGGGAGCATGCATTATTTTTGTGAGTAGAAAACTCAAGTCGTAATCAAATTCAGATAAGCTTTGGCAAACTACACATTCTGTGAAATGAACATTAAAAACATTTAACTTCTCAGTAAAGTACACACAGGTTATGGATATTAAATTTTTTATCAACAGGGAATTTGAAAATTAAATTAACGGCAGGCCCTTGTTTGTTTCTATATGATTCACATTTAAACTGCTTCTTTTTGAAGCCAACCATAAATACCGTATTATCTCTTTACACAACCACTTCATCGTTTCTTTCAGATTTGCACAAAAAAAACTATAAATGCATATTGTATGTGCTATCCTTTTCAATTGATACCTGAAGCTTATACAGTTTCAACTGATAGCACAATGCGCATTAAGGATTAATGGACATATGGGCGTTGCTTTTAGAACAAATGATTTTTATGCAGCACGCAGTGGGCACTGCACTTAACGCATGATGGACACATGGATTTTCGGCCTAAGTGATTTACATGTAAATGAATGCTTTTATAGAGCTGTTTTCGTCTGGTACTCATCACGATCACTTGAGCAGACACTCATAGATTCTCTCTTTTTGCAATCTGTATTATATTGTAACTGAGAACTCAGTGGTGAGTTTTAAGTGCACTTTTATAGGAAAAAGAGATTGAGTGTTGCTGTCCTCAAGTGCCGTAAAGCAAGAAATAAATCTGGGTTATTGGCTAAAATTAGTTCTGTCACATCCACCCAACATCTTTGAACAAATTTGTGGAAAATTGAAACTATTTGACATCAAAGTATTTACTTGAATTTCAGTCAACCATGATTGGCATGCCTGTAAGTCTACATGTGTACATACAGTATGATTGCCTGGGGAAGCTCACGCTATTTTTAGAAAATATATGAGCCAATGAAAGATGCTGTCAGATTGTCAAATTTGTATTTGTCAAAACTAAATTTGCCCTTTGATTTCAGAGTGCCTGTGAGATGACACTGAATGCCGTGAGACACTTACCACCTCCAACTAAAGACGCACCTCATGTTGCTGAGATTGCAGCAGCCATGGAAAAGACGTACAGTAAGAGTCTCAGGCATCTCCCACTGGTACCCTGTACTTCATCGGCGCTCCTGCCTTATTTTGTGCAGCTGTTGCTACTCAGCTATAAGGTGCGCAAGCAATTGTATAGACCATTATCATGTTGCGGCAATTTGGATTTTTCCCTTTCAAATCAACTTAACCAAAGCGAGGCTGGAAGAAAACTAGTCGGGTTCCTTTTTGCACAAAAAACTTTATCATTCAGTAACGTTATTGGACACAGGGAACATGACTGAAATGGTGGCAGCATGATAAAGGTCTATGCTGGTACGTCATTGGTCTAGAATGGGGGAAGAGATATAAAATTCTCCTTACCGTACTGTTAGTTTCACTTCAATCGGACATTTTGTTGACAAGTTACGGCTGTTTCTTCTCATGCACAAGTGGTTGTTTGCTGTTGAATTTCATTTTGCTGGTTCCATAGGGCTGGCCTAGAATTCTCTTTGTACCTACCTCACTGACTGACTGACTACCTGACTGATGAAGAGTGCTGGGCAGTGCTATTGTATAGGATTACCCCGTAATGGGTTACATCGGCCTATTATGTGGACCAGATGCATGATTGAAGCGTGGAAGGCCCTTCATGGTATGAATCGAGTATGGAGAGCTGGTCTCACCAATGACATCAAGAGATGTCTGTTCGTGGCTACAGTTGAGTCTGTACTTCTGTATGGAGCTGAGACATGGATGATGACAGCCAAGCATGAGAGAGCGCTAGACGGCATCTACACGTGAATGCTACAGATGGCACTCAACATCAGTTTGGAAGACCATGTGCCCAACATCCAGCTCTACGACACCCTGCCCAGAGTTTCTTCTAAGGTCAAGTAGTGGAGGATGAGGCTGGCGGGCCACTGTGTGCGTCATCCAGAGCTAGCTGCGAGCCCGCTAGTACTGTGGGAACCTGTCGATGGAGCTAGCGGCAGGGGCAGGAGGAGACTATCTTTCGTCGACCAGTTGAAGAGGGATGCAGCGCAACAAGATACCGCTGAGCTGAAGACACTGACGCTGGTCCCAGGATGCATGACACGCGACCATCAGAGTCTCCCGAGAAGGCATCGGTTGAAGACCTCTTGCATGATGATGATGATGTGATGCATGAAAAGACTTTCACTAAATAGCAATTCTGAATTAATGAATGGAACTTTGTGTGTTCTGGGAAAAGCTTTAGTAGATTTAGCTACAGTGTACTCTTGTTTTATTTGATACTTATTTAATAAAGCAAAGCATTTTCTTTGATTGTTTCTTTGCAGAAGAAAGTCTTCCACCTTAGAGAGACAGAGGACACAGCCTTAGGTCACATGCTCGTCTTGATGCAATATGATTGGCCGAAGGAGGAAGTATTATTCCAAGAGTTAATCAAGAAACTGAAGAAGCAAGGAAGCTTTTTCTATCCCATATTCTTCCAGTATATCATCAGTATCCTTGAAATATAAAGTATATGTAGGTTATAATAAACATAAGTTTCAGCCAGAAATGTGTCCGCCCGAAGTGTGCTGAAAAAAATATCCAACTTGAGGGTATTTGAATAAAGAAAGACTCCACTGGAGTGTTTTGAATGATGCCACAATTTTATTTATCTGAGTATAAGGTTGGCATTTGATGAAGTGTGTGGCTGCTCACCCCAGAAGGAAGGGCAAACTACGCTATTGTTTTTATAAACTGCATTAACTCTTTCGCTATGGAATTTAATTTCCTGATTTACTCGCATTTGGACGTAATAAATCGCTGGAAATTCCGCCGTGTGTCGATGTGGACGCCGCCATCTTTAAATGTCTCGCTGTAAACAAACTGCTCACAATAACCTGCAGCAGACCCCGGCGAGACGGAGAGCCGTTGGCAGCGGCTCAAACTAGGGTCAGAGGTTATACGATATAAATTATGTAGATAAGGCACACGTCATGGGGATACCCTGTTTATTCACAGCGACGTTACCGAGCCGCTGCCAGCGGCTTGCCGTACGACATGTACAATTTTTGTGTGCCGCTGTCAGCGGCTCGACGTAGCGAAAGAGTTAACACACTTCTGCAAACATATCACAACTAAAAGCTTTTGTTATTTTTCCCCATTTCTGTTCTCCACAATTTAGAGCTATGTGACAAAATCGTAGCTCTTACCTTGTGAGGCTGTTTGCCTTGTTGGTAATAAGCAGCGTTCCTTTTCAACAGTCTGATAATCTTTAACAAGTTTCACCCCAAGACATTGACATGCTGGAGGAGTTTGCATTCTTAAGGACGGAGACAGGAGGCAAGTTGCAGCTGGATCTACTGCCCCCCAACCCCTCGTCAGTCAGGTAAATTTGAACTGTTTCCCCATGTATTTAGCTTGTTTGTGATCTACCATGAATGTTAGGAAAGGATTGGGGTGTTTGAATAATCGAGTCAATCACAAGTTAATCACTAGTCAATCATGAGTCACATGAGACACTCACAAGTCTAATCACGCAACAGAAGGTCAGAAGTAACAAGGGATTAACAATGACAAAGATAAATTGCCAAAGTCACATTTTGATCTCAATTTCTATTTGCATTGCCTTCCAGTTTGGTTTTAAACAGGCATGAGATTTTTCAGACTTTTGACTGAAATCAAATTTTTCTAATCTGAGAGAAAGACATCTGTATAGACAGAAATGCAACTTTCAGACCTTTCATCCTAGAGTGTTTTTTTTTTAAATTGACAATCCCATCCCTATATAAATGAAATGCATTTTATTTGTCATTGTTTAAAACAGGCAGAGGACTGTCACAAGAAATATAACAAAAGGTGGAAAGGAGGACTTCCGTGTTGCCATGGAGAAACAGGTGGTACGATGCGGGGAGAACCTGGATGCATTGATGAGGACATTCCTGACCACTGAGTGTGACACGTTACAGCAACTGCTCATGTGAAATCTGACGCTACCACAGAGCATTGCTATGCAAATACTGGTACAATAGAATAATAGTGTCTGAGAGATGTAGCTTAATGGAAAAGCAGGTGCCACATTGGTGAAGTTAAGCAAAGTTAACTGGCAGCAGTACTTGGAGGGGGAGCCACATGCCACATTTTGCTGGCTGGATTCATAGCGTACCGAGATTGATACACACAAGCTCAAGGCATGAAACATGCTCTGTTTTTATCCATGATGGTCTTGTCCTTCTAGTGGAATGTTTATTCATTGGTCCCATATGACTTGATACAAAAACAATTAATGTTCCAATTCATTAAGGCTCATCCACTGTGCATGTGGGGGAGTGTGGCCTAGTGGTTAGGGTTTGTGACTCATGATCAGAGTGTCAGGGGTTCGAATCCAGCTGCTGGCCATATGTTGTGTCCTTGGGCAAGCCAGTTTATCCCCACTTGCCTCCCCACCCAGGAGTATAAATGGGTACCGGCATTAGCTTGAAAGTAACCTGCGATGGACTAGCATCCCATCCAGGGGGAATAGAAATATTGTCAGTCATTTCATGCTACTGAAACCGGGGATAAACGCCGGCCTGATGTGACATATTGGCTCGTGACAGACTTTACTTACTTTTACTGCACATGTGGGCAACAAAATGTACACCTCTACAATGCATGTTCCAGCCACACATGTCATATGCACACGTGTGCACATTATACAACAGGGCTAACTTTATCGGACTTGTATTTCATGTCGTCTCACGAGACCTTTATGTGCAGGACACACCACGTATATGCACTGTATGGTGCTGACTGCTTGCAGTATATTTATTTTATTCCAAGTGTGCATAGACCGGTAGAGTCTCTGTCTGAGCAACAGATGTATAGTGGCAGTGAAGTCCAAGAGTCTGCCCAAGTCTTGGCATTGTTGAGGCACAAAGAGTTCAGACAAAAGGAAAACACTTGAAAAAACCTTGAACCTTATCGTTGAAGAGTGGGGAATTTCCCTGGTTTTACCGATAGGCAGCAAAATTTGCTGATATGTGTTTTTACCCATATGTAAATTGCACACTACATATGAAATAAATTATTAAGAGTTTGTCTAAACAAGGTTTGTCTATTACAAAGTTGCCTTTCAATACTACAATTTGTTTGTTTGAGAAACTATTTGGGGTATCAAGAGTGTTACGTTTTCAAGCCAATTAGGAATTTGGGATACATGTTCTTCCATTTGTCGTGATCAAGTAAGAAATAGAAATTATATGAGACCATTCACACAAATGTATCTGTCAGTGAGCTTCAGCTTGTAATGTTTTATGATGATATGGTATTATTCCATGAATGCAAAGAATATTAAGTGAATAAGAAATGGGCTCAGGAAATATTTGTTTTGGTTGGCATACTCATTTCTCACGGATCAACTCCCTGAATCTGTATAAAGGATCACTGGAAGATAGACGAATTTGAAAACAGTTTGCGAGCCAATTAAATGTATCAAATCCTCATCACAGAAGAACTGAGGTCCTTGACTATAAAACAATATTCCAGAAAAAAGGGACTTTTGACAAAACTAAGATGTCATCGGTGTTGATTGTATTATATATTGGCCTCAACTTTTTTTCTGCTTTTGCAATTAAAAGAATTGATGAGCTTTTTGTTGCAGGTACTTTGTCTAATTAATTTGAGGTGAAATTGGCTCTGTAAAATCTGTTATTTGTCTGAAAATTTGTAATATCTCAAAACCGTCAAACTTAAGGCTTAAATTTATTTGTGGTTACCTATTATGTTTTTGATACTGACAGATAAAACATAACAGTGTTAAAATGTTTTTTTATTCAAACTGTGGTAAGACAGGTTTTCAAATGAAAACAAGTAAACAAATATAGAAATTGTTTTAAATGCTGTACTATTTTGTGTTTGTTGTCCATTCATTTTTTTAAGAGAAAGAAACCCTTTAAAAGAGTGTATTGTGTACTGGTAATTACTACTTTATTAGATTTGTTTCATTTATTGATTGATTGATTTATTTTATTTTGTATTTTGTATTTTATTTTTTATTTTTTATTTTTTATTTTTTATTTTTTATTTTTTATTTTTTATTTTTTATTTTTTATTTTTTATTTTTTATTTATGTATTTATTTATTTATTTATTTATTTATTTTTTTTTGGGGGGGGGGGGGGCGGGGGGGTTGAGTGAAGGCGTGCTGAAGTCAATCCTTTAGGGGGTTGGGGCATGCCCTCCTATGCCCCCCCCCCCCCCCCCCCTTAAGCTACATTAGAAGGCAATTTGAAATAATTAAATGTAGGAATAGTTGCATTCCACGTATTATTTGTGGCCCCATTTTACTATTATAACACAAGTCAGCAGTTGAAGAGGGGGTTGGGGTTGGGGTTGCAAATACACCCCCCCCCCCCATCTGCCAATGATTATAGTTTAATATAATTAATTCTCATTTTTCCCTTGTTAACTTTACAGAATACATGTATTCACTAAATTAAACTTTGCTGATTTGAAATCAACAGGTATAGAAATGATTTATGGGCTGGCTTGGGTAATTTCCCTAGGGCTGTCCCTGGCCGTCACGGGCCAGGAAGCTTTTGTTTGCCTGTCTGCGTTAAGCTGTCTGATACGATTCATTGGGAGTGCATTTGACAAATACTAGTACCCTTGTCCGAAGTACAGTACAAAATCTTTCAATGATGTCTATTCAAACAAGATAAGAATATTACTGGAGGGAATCAGTGAATGCGTTCTAAATATTTTTTTCTTTTTATTCAACCCATTGTCTGGTCGAAAATGTGTACTTTGGTGGTGTGATTGGGTTTTATTAAATTCCTCCAGGGTTTTCCCCAGTTTTATTTTTGGCTTAAATTCTATCGAATCCCAAAGCAAATGATACAAATACGTAATATAGAGGGCGCTAGTGTTAGCGCGCTGAGAAACTATTTTTTCAAAGGCATGTGTTGAGTTTCCGCATCGGACTTCAGACTGCGCAGCAGAGTTATTCATATTTTACAAATCTAACTTGTAAAATTCAGAAATGGACGCTCCAGCAAATTGCCACAAGACGAAATCTGTCCAAGTTATGTATGGCACCAGAGTTTAGCAACAGGTGTCGTTCCCGTCAGAAGTTCAGTTGAAAAGTACCAAACTTGAGTTGAGAAAACAGTGTCGCTACGACCGTACAGTTAGGCCTACTAAAAAAGTCATTTTATGTCCGAGCCTCATAGTTCTAGGAGTACATCTGATGATGAATCTGAAAACAGTAAGGAACAACTGAAACACCGGACATCTGTTCTAGACACCAGAATGGCTACTTCAGCCTTCCATTTGATGAGTTTTCTGGCTTGAAAAACTCTCACAATGCGAGTAATTTTACGCGGAGATGTGGTGCAGCCGGGATTGTGTTGCAGCCCTGGTCAACCGGTTGAACGGTGGAAACACTGCGATGACGTGGGGCTAGTGGACGGTGGTGTGCCCACCATTGGAGGGAGTGAGGCCAGCATCATACTCGAACCTGCTGTCTGGTCCAAGGTGAGGTGACTGAAATTGACTGCATGTGAAAACTTATATTCAGTCGCTTTTTAGGGAAAATTTTAATTGGAGTTGTTATGAATCGTTTGAAAGTACTACTAGCTTGAGTAACTCCAGCTTAACAAGCTCATCAGGAATGCACATGTTAAATGTGAATTCCTGATGAGCTTAAGTTAACTTGGAGTTACTCAAGCTATGAAAGTACAGTTTTCTTAGCCCAGGTTGGACGACGTCTTCGACTTCATTGCATTACGACTGCGTGTACACAACGGAGTCCAACCTGGGCTACCGTTTTCTGAAGGGGTCAATTCAAAATTAAGTCAAATCTTTACCACATTCTCTCTAACAACATAAATGTAGGCCTAACAGTTTCAATTATTTTCTTTTAGGAAAAAATTCCGTACTCAGACGTCACTTTTTTCAATTAATTTTCTAGCGCCAAAAGTTACATCTTTTGTGGTTATTCCTCCACTTTCCCTCCTCTACTCTCACCCTCTCCTTTCCTTAATTTCTATTTATTAATCAGTCAGTTACTTCATCGGGATTCGAACCTCTGACGCTTGCTTGATACACGAGACTCTTAACCGCTAGGCCGCGCACGATCGCTGTTGCAATAATCAATCTTTGGACGTATTTGAAGTATCCATTGAAATAAACTAAATATTCATGAGAAAATAAATACTCATAATGACGTATTGCACTCATTGGCAGGCTCATGCGACGTCATGGTTGTTGATGTCACGTGTATAACGTACCGCTGTCTTTCAGCCACACTACAATCAGTTTTGACCGGCTGCTTCAAGTTAGTTCTGCACGACGTATGCATCCAAAATGTGCTCTAAAAACACATTTTGAGTAAATTGTTTTCACCTTTACACAGCTTCCTGGATTTCTCTTGGTTCAAATGACAAGGTGAGGTGACAATTAATATGTTTGGCAGCAGATAAATTGACGTCCGAGTACGGAACTTTTCCCTTCTTTTATAATCAGCATTACAATGTGATGGTCAATTGTCAAAAAAATGTTAATACCTTCTAAAATGAAAATAGAGATAATAATATAATTTACAGATTATTTTGTTATTATAATAATTTAATTATTTTGTGTTTGTTGAAAGCTAGTCGGAGTAACTTGGATAATCTTTTCATATTGACTAGTCATACCATGGTCATGCTGTGGAATGGTTGTTGAATTTTGGCAACTGTTTTATGCGCAAACTGGTACAAATGAGATACATGAACATTTGAATTTGCTCAAAATCCATGTGCACTTCTTTTTCTGAAAGGGCTCTCCCAAATATTTTGAATATTGGATCATTAATGGAATAGCTTTTTATATAATAATAATAATAATAGCTTTATTTACAGATGGTAGCCATGTCACCTGACAGATGATTTTGAATGGGTCATCTATCAATTAAAACATTATCAAAATTACATGACTTAATTAAGACTATACATACTTTTTTTGCCAGTTTGAATTAAAAAAAATACCAAAACAAACTATACACACAAAATGATGTTATTTAATTGTAAATTGTGGCGCTAAATTTATTGTCAGATGCCACTTGTTTCTGTCGACAGTGGTTCATTGTCCCCATCCTCTTTAACAGGTTAAAACCCTGGCTCCTGATGTCCATAATATTGATCGCCTCACAAATTTGAACCGGCGAGCTGGAAATGTTTCTCAGTCCCAGATACGGTACATGTGTTTTCAATATTTTTGCAATGATTGACATTCATTGATGATAGAAGGTATACATGTAGGCCTACCAGTATGATGGGAAAGTGGCATCTGTCAGGATGCAACATTCTTTCCTATATTATTTTTGCTGATGCATGGTCAGTGTTAATAATTTTCAGTGAGTAAACATGATTATTATGTCACCATGGTCACCTTTGGGACATCTATACATATTTCTAGTGATCCTGATGCTGAGGGGAAATCCTGTTTAGATAGCGGGACGACTAACACGCATCAGCCTTAATTCCTGTTGTTTTGTTGGAAACCTTCCTGAATTCCCTTAAATGCTTCACACTGCAGGAAATCAATGGCAAATTCTTAGTTTGTACATTTGTACACCGTACGGTGTGTACTTAGTTTAAGGGAATCACGTAATAGTGGCTGGGCTTCTACCTCTAGGGCTGTGCTGATTATACTGAAATTTGAAAGTTGTGTGATTTTATTTGTTTGTCAACTTGTCAGATTCCATGAGGTACCGATATATTACCTAAACATTTTTTTCTTTAATGGTCAAATATCAGCCACTCCACTACTCATTATTTATTATTTTAACCACTTCAACCCGGTATAATCAATTTTTGCAAAAGGTAAAATTTTCCAGCCAACGTTTGATATACAGTATCCAAATGCCAACCTGATTCGCAAGAGTCATTTCAATAGTATTATTTGTACATTATTTCTTGCTGAAACCTACATGTAATATGTTTCCATACTCCAGGGTTTGCACTGTAGTGTAGTGCACAACGGCCAATTCAAGATCAACAATTCTTTGAAAATTGACGTCTTCAATTCTGCAAAATCCCCTAAAAATTATGGGTTTTGCAACATCTGGGAGGCTTGGGGTAAATAAAGTCATTGAAATGTCTGAACACATAAAAGTATCCTGGAAAGTACCGGTAAGAGAATATTGCAGGATTGAAATCAAGTAGGGGATAACCAAATACTTCATAATGGAAAGGGTTAGTTTACATGTACTGTCAAAGTCCATTTGCATAATTTCCTTTATTGTATGCAGAACAACATTTCCTGTTAAAAGCACTGAGCCGCACATCCCATAGTTACCGTACATACACATGTTGTGATGCAGAAATTCTTTGAATATAATTAATAATATGGCGGTGGTAGGCTCCTACTTGTTTAGAAAGACAAGTTGATTTGACGAAATGTGCTACCGGTAGATTTCCTGTACATTACCAAATATTTTCCTGAAAATGTACACAGTATCTTTTTTTTTTGGGGGGGGGGGTTAAAAAAACATCAGTTTTAGTTCAGAACTACTGTAAAGCTCTTCTGGGCAGTGACTCATTAAAGAATTTAAAACTTAATTGTGTGATTTAGTGTTAATAAATAATACGGTATGTCTTGATAATCACCATTGTGGTTCAATAGTGGGTTTTTCATCGGGGATTAGAACTTAAAGTTAAAACAAATTACCAACTGGTATCAAAACATCAGATTTTCAAAAAATGTTGAAAAAGAAATACAATTGAAAAATGCAACCTGTGGAGTAGGCCTATTTGGTAAGAGATGCCATCATATTCCTGGGCAAACTATGTACTTACATACATCATATTAATCATTATTAGATTGAAAATTCTACTTAAACACATTTTTTTCATTTAAATGCATTAGTGCAAAAGCCCCTCTTGTCTCTTGAATGGTTTCCAAAATAATTCTTGATTTTACAAAAATTACAGATCTTGTGCCTCAGAACCATTGATGGCTACATATCACATGTACATGTACAGTGCACAAAACTTCCAGGGTTTCTTCCTCTTGTGGTTACAGTATCAGTCCAAGGGACTGGCCCTGCCTAGTGCTCTGAGGGGTCAAACCGAACCACAATATGGTTCCCTTAATTCCTGTCTCACCAAGCACATCTGCTAAGAGCTCAACCTTTCATGTTGCGGTGCACTGTTGACGTCAGTTTGGTTTGCAGACTGACATCTTCAGAAAGGGACCTTAGTCAGTTTTTTAATGATTTTTTTTTCAATCCTGTACGCACTTGTAATTTTAGTTTGAGTAAGAATATTAATCTGTTGATTTTAGGAAGTTTTGTTAAATATTACATGTACTTACTGTCTTCTGGGCAGAGTGTATTTTTTTTTATTTAATCAAATGTTGTTGGAATTGGATTATTTCCTGCAGACAAATGTTGATGAAAAAAACATTTTCTGAACTGTGAACAGTTGGCCCATCTGATACAAAGATGATAAACAAGAAAAACAGGAATACCCAAAACAAAACCAACAATTTAAAACATCCTAAACTTGCCTCAGTTTCCTGAATAATATCATCACTCAGCACAGACAAATGTTGATGAAAAAAACATTTTCTGAACTGTGAACAGTTGGCCCATCTGATACAAAGATGATAAACAAGAAAAACAGGAATACCCAAAACAAAACCAACAATTTAAAACATCCTAAACTTGCCTCAGTTTCCTGAATATCATCACTCAGCATTGAAAATGTCGAGTCATTACTTTATGCCTAGTTGACCTCAACACCCCATCCAATGAACTCCCCTCCCCCCCCCCCCCCCCCCCCCCCCCCCCTCTCCCCCCCCCCCTTGAAAAAAAATGTTGGGCCCTATCTTGGCTCTAACTGTAATCATAGGTGTGTTCAGCCTACCGTTTCACAGAGTGATTGTAACCATTTGAACTCTGACCAAGTTACGTGATTTGTTACACGTTCATGTACAGCCTAGGAAGTTCCATGGAAAGATTTCCGTATACATGTACGAAGTTCACTCAACACCCTGTGTACAAACCCTATGAGATTGGACTGAAAAATTCTAAGTGTTTTCTAAGAAAATGCTTGTATTTTCTCACTGCTCAAATTGACTTTGATGACATGAAATTGCTATCTGGGGGCTTGTTAGTCAATACAGAGGAAAATTAGTGAACTTTGTATATGGAAGTCTTTCCAGTTCCATTCACATACATGTACGACATACCGGTACAACATATCAGGTTGTTGACATTCTCATTGACATGCCTGCATGGCGGAAGTACCGTTAACTTAACTGTACCCAGTACATGTGCATACAGTGTACATGCATGCATGCACCTTCTGACAGCTAGACCATTCGTAAAACTTGATCGTTTTCTTTGTTTTGGGGGAATTTTGTTATATCACTCGGCCTTTACACATACCCTACCGGTGCACTGCCCCCCACAAAATCTATCAAATATTACAAGATTTGTTTGTGGCACAGAAGTTGCAAGTCCACTAGCTGAATAGCACCTGTTTTTC